GTGTAGTGGCTGCTGTGGCCAGAGTTTGTGCCCTTACGTGATCTCCCCACAAGTGAGAAAGGAAATTAGCATGATTGGTATGTGGACACTATGCACTGAATCTTGTTAGTAAATTGTCTTAAACCTGTTTTTTAATGTTTTATCAGGAAATGTGGGTGGCAGCTTTTAACTTGACCCCATCAGCCCCGCTGCTGCTTTGCCTCATTTTGATTCTCCTGTGTTCCTACAAAATGTTTGACTGAGGTGTGGTGCTCGAGACACGCCCACGCCACGAAGGAGAGGTTTACTATCCAACAGTCGGGTGGAATCAATTGTTGCTCTGCTGATGAAAGACTACTACTAAACCACAACTTTCCAATTTTATCTGTAATTTAATAAATGTCTTTTTGGTATTTTCTGTTTCTAATTTTGTTTTTATTCTTTTAGCTCAGTGCTGAGGACCGGCGATGGTGGTGTGGTTGACCTGGATGGCGGTGTCCCCTTTTTTGTGTGCATGCTTGCGGTGATCAACACAGGTGGAGTGAGTGTGGTTTCACGTGTGTTTGTAGTAGTTTCTTTTTGGGAGCCGCTCATCCAGAACAGGTCTGTTGGCACCTACTGGTAAGCCTCAGTAGCTGAGCATTAGTTTTTTTTTTTGTTGTTTTCATTTTTGAACAGATATTTTTAAATCAGTCTTTCACATTTTGTTTTTAATAAAACAACTTTCTGTACTTAAACAGTCTCCTGCTTTTTGCAAAACCATACCTGTGTCTTGACTTTTGATTTTCTGGGTGAAAGTTATTGGTTGTTAGTGACAACCAAACTTTAACGTTGTGCCGAAAATCACCACTTGCCACAATCTAAATATCAAAAGAATTTATCGATAAAATTACAAATCTATTTTAGGCAAAAACCAATGCTGACCATCGATGCCAGCTAACATCACAGCGTCAATTATACAGTACTTCTAAAACATGCCGTTTACATGTAAGGATGTTGCTGAGCCAGGTTTTAGGAGATGGCTCTCAGATTTACGCTCTTCCTCTGAAATTCGAGCTGAAGATGAACACAGCCTACCTTCTGTTTCCACACTTTCATATGTAAAGAAGCCGAGCAGAGTTTTAGGGCCTAGCACCACCTTGTAGAAAGAGGATGGTAGACAAAAAAAAACAAAAAAAAACCCTGTCATAACACAGCCAGCACTGACGGGAAGTAATCACACCTTCTGCTGAAGAGCATGCAGATGTTTTTACGACCAGGGTCGGTGCAGACTGAGGGGAATGTGGAGGGGAAAAGTGTGGGGTGAGTAGCTTCCACTTTGGACAGGATTATGATCAAAAACTGAACATATGAGAGGAATTTCAGTAAAAAACCAGAATGAGTAATTATAATATCAGAGGAAACATATATTATGATTGTCACACTGGATTACACAAGCTCCAGTTCTATCACCTGCTGTGCTATCAAATCCAAGATTTGACACACATTAATCTAAAAAGTTGGTTTAAAATCCAAGATTTGTCTTCAGATCACTCTGTCAGAAATAAGTCTTAAGTAAAACTTTTAGGAGAGCTTTCTTTTCTCATCCCACCTCCCCCTCTTTCCTCTCTCTGACGTGGAAGTGGGAGATCCTTTCATCTCCCCCCCGCCCCTTGTCGTCTTCCTCTGCCCCTCTTTCACCCTAGGGAGAGAGACACTATTGTGGTGGTTTATGACCCCTTGAACTCCATTCTCGCCACTAACCTCAAACACACACACACACACACACACA